GAGAACAGAGGGTAAATGAGGGCCAGAATAGAGGAATCATGGAATAGACAGGTGGAGAGAGAGAAAGGAGAAGGAAGGGGAGAAAGAAAGAGGGAGAAGGACAGGGGGAAAGAGAATATCATGTACTATTCATGAAAATTTTACTAAAATAAGCAGTCCTTATAGATCTGATATCTGTCCTATCACTTCCACCATCAGACTCATCAACATCATGACTTCAGGAAACCAAACTGGTATAGCGGGATTCTTCCTCATGGGTCTCTCGGAGGATTCAGAACTACAACCCCTCATTTTTGGATTATTCCTGACCATATACTTGGTCACCGTGCTTGGGAACCTGCTCATCATCCTGATCATCAACTCAGACTCCCACCTCCACACCCCCATGTACTTCTTCCTTTCCAACCTGTCCTTCACTGACATCTGTTTCAGCACCACCACGGTCCCCAAGATGCTCGTGAACATCCAAACACTGAGCAAATTCATCAGCTACACAGGCTGCCTAACCCAGGTTTGCCTCATCCTGATGTTTGCCGGCCTGGAGAATTTTCTACTTGCAGCAATGGCCTATGACCGTTATGTGGCTATTTGTCACCCACTGAGGTACACCATCATCATGAACCCTCGCCTCTGTGGTCTGCTGATTTTACTCTCCTTGCTCATTAGCCTGGTGGATGCCCTGCTGCATAGTCTGATGGTGCTGCGACTGTCCTTCTGCATAGACCTGGAAATCCCCCACTTCTTCTGTGAACTTGCTCAGGTCATTAAACTTTCCTGCTCCAATACCCTCATCAATAACATCCTAGTATATTTGATAACCACTATACTCGGTGGTGTTCCTCTCCTTGGGATTATTTTCTCTTACATTAAAATTGTCTCTTCCATCCTGAGAATGCCATCAGCTGGGGGGATGTATAAAGCTTTCTCCACCTGTGGGTCTCACCTCTCAGTTGTGTTCTTATTCTATGGGACAGCCTTTGGAGTGTACATTAGTTCTGCAGTTACTCATTCTTCCAAGAACATAGCAATAACCTCAGTGATGTACACTGTGGTGCCTCCAATGATGAACCCATTTATCTACAGCCTGAGGAACAGGGACATGAAGGAGGCCCTGAAGAAGCTCCTCTGGAAAAACTCTTCTTTTTCATGATTCTATCATTTTCTTTAGGCTTGGGCTTCTGGTCAAAGTGAACAAATACTATGAGAATCGCTATGTTACAGTTTTCTAGTAACAAGTGCATATCTTCCCATTTTGATAATATAATATTTTATATGCTTGTGAATTAAAACACATATATGTACATTACTTATGTTTCTCACTTGTGACTTTTTACTTTCTTAATACACCATTTTAAAGCATTTATTGCTATTTTGGTAAGCGCATCAGTAACAAAATATTTGCCATGTCGGGATTTCCACATATGCTGTGCCATTAACTACATTCTCTAGGCTATTCAACCATCTCCACTGTCCATTTTCAATTTTTCCTCATGCCTAGTACAGTGTGCTCTACGCTCTGACATTCCTTTTCCTTTCTCCTCCTCACTGCTCCTGTTAACTACTAATGGGCTTTGGTTCCTATATACTGGACTGTTCTATGTATCTCATGTAACTGAGATCATATAAAATGTGTCTTTTGTGACTGACATTTCATTTAGCATAAAGTTTTCAAGGTCCATGGATGTTGCAGTATGTATCAGGACTTTCTGTTGTAGTATGTATCAGGACTTTATTATCTTTGTAGCTGAGTAGTCTTTTATTGTATGCATGGCTTTTGTTTATCCATTAATCTGTTATTGTATATTTAACCAGTTTCTATCTCATAGCTACTGTGACTAGTGCTGCAATGAATATTGGGATACACATATGTGTTAATCTGGGTGGACTAGAGAAACCAATTCATAGACACATGCATGTGTATAAGAAAGAGTTTTATATACAAGAGCAATTGAACAATGAGAAAACCTCCCATCCCAGTCCAGATCAAGCCAGATATTAGCCCATATGTCTGATACCAATCTATAAATTCCTCTTCAGACTCACAAAACACATGCAATGATGCTGAATGCAGGAAGATCCCAGCCAGTGCAAATGGAACTACACTAGTGCCCTGAACTGGAGGAACCACGTGGAGACCCCTACTAGCGCTGATATGCTTACAGTGCCAGTTCAGGGCACTAGTGTAGTTCCATTTGTCTTCTCGACAGGGATGTCAAGAGAATAGAGAGTGTCTCCCACCTCCAAGGAGGAAAACCAGAGTTCTCAGAATCCTCAGTAGAAGGCCATGCCCACCAGAAGCCTCATTGACTATATCCTGATTGACAGGCTAGACTCCACCCCTACACTCTTAATCCTCAAATTCACAATAGACTATGTAACTACCACAACATATCTACTACTTATGACCTTCTTTTAAGTTATTTTGTTATAGTAGTTATATACCATAGTGACTAATTGCAGCAAACATAGGTATGAACATTTGAATGGTTGCATGCTAAGACTGGTTCCCCACAAGGAAACTACATGGCTATACAATTTTCAGGCAGCATATTTGAGAGCCAACTATTACTTGGTATCTGTGATAGGTAGGTTTATTGGCCAGGTTGGCACACCATGGGGCCCAATCAGCCCCACTGGAGGCAAATGTCAGAGTTCACTTAGGTCAGGACCCACTGTTAAACTTGGTGTACATTAAATACCAGTCACAGGGGTCTTCAGAGATGCTGGCATCTGTGGGGAGAAGTC